AAGATATTTGATTATAATAAAATATAATTAATAAACATATAATACAATTAATAAACATATTAATAGCAATTGGTATAGGTAAAATTGCATTAGAGAAATTCTTAAATGCATGTGCTGAAATTTACACTTATAATCTGCGCGCTCGCTGGATGCTGGCAGCCGCTTTCATGGACATCGTTGTTTAAGAATATAATTTATAAAGCTTACGCAACGTTCCTGATCTCCTCATTATACGCATTTCTGATGTCCCAATTCGTGGACATTGTATTAAACGTTGGTAACTCTGATGAATTTGTCGATGCCTTATATATGATGTTGACCGTGCTTGTAGCGGGATATAAACAAGCTTATATGTGGATAGATCGCAAGAATATCATGGTAATAATAAATGTTCTTACCGAGAAACCTTTTGCACCATATGAAACACACGAAGTAATAATTCAAGAGAAATTTGAAAAATTGACAACGTAAGTATATTTTAAGTTTCTCTTTTTTTTATGATTATGCATAAATGCATCATTATTATATTTTTTTAAAAACAAAATATTTTATTTTATGTTCTTCAATACTTTATAACAATGCATTAATTTCTCTACATGAGATATATTGCATTATGTGATAATTTTATAGAAATAACCAATTATATCTTATAAAATCTAATTCAAATTTTAAAAAATATTTCTACACATGTAAATAAAAATTATTAAATAAAAAAATTATTATAAATAATAATTCGAGAAATATAACAAAAATATAACAATAAATTAATTTTATAAAAGGCGGGGCCATAAAAAGTTTTTATTGTCATTTTATAGGAACAACACACGGCGGTATTTAATCATTGTTTCAATGTCGATCTTATCGATAATTTCGACATCTGTCTCTACAGATTTAAGGAAAAGAAATCTGACGTATAAGGCTTGGTTGCCTTTTGACTATTCATCCCCTACTATATACTTTTTTGTATACATTCATCAAATGATAGCCATGTCAACCTCGGGTATAGTTAATGTCGCTTGTGAAAGTTTAATTTGTGGATTTTTGCTACATATTTGTGGCCAGTTTGAAATTTTGGAATATCGATTGAGAAAACTTTCGCACGATCAAAACATTTTAGGCGACTGTGTCCATCATCACAATCTTCTTTTCGAGTTAGTTTCTTAAACTATTTTGTTAAAATTGTTACAAAAATATTTGATCAGTACAAGTAATAATTTGTTTTAAAAGTGATAACTAAAACGCTTAATAAATAAACAAATACAAAATCGCAAAGTCGCAAATTGTCGCTCGTTTTTCTTTTTACTTATGGATTCTTGAACCCCAATTAATCTTTAATAATAAATCTCAAACCTCAAACTAATTAGCTTTTAATAACAGTTGGAGAGATAGCAATAATTTCCGAAAATATAAACGATAAAAAACGGAGTCAATTTTAAGATTTTTTTATTAAAATTTAAGACAAGTAAAATTAGATTAAAAAAAAATTACAACAAAATTTATACTCTCATATATATATATATACATACAT